TAATTGTCTTTAAATAAGGGGAAAGGGAAACAAAACTAATTTTTGGAGCAGATGGTCTCTGGGATTATATGTACTGCTGGTGATTTTTCTTATCTTTCCTTTTCTAACCCAACGAAAATGTCCCAAATTTGATTATCTGGTTTTCATATCCTAGAGTTAGAAATATATTCTATACTCCCTCTTAACATCATCCCATCCTCTCACTCAGCAGGACGAAACTCTAACTGAAAAAAACTGTTTTAAAGTATCTCTCAAACACTTTTCATGTAGTCAGCACTAGAATTCTAAGGGAATGAGGTGCATGAGAATTTTCACTGTTCAGTTTTTCCTGTTCTCCAGACTACTTTAAATGTCTCTGATCTGATTGAATTGAGGGAGCTGTAAATTTCCGTTGGTAAATACCAGTTCAGACAGTATATCTGAACTTCATCTTATTGTTGCCTATTTTTGGCTTTCCACATAAGTTGAAATTTTCTGTCTATATTTAAGGATTCTGGGAGTAGTTACTTAATTCATAGGATAGTTATCAATCTTGGTTTAACATAGCCCTTTTTGTGGCCAAGTCTCTAAAATGTTTTCACTTCAGTAGTGAGGGCAGAGAAAAGATTTATTAAGGAAGATCCTATTTAGAGGAACAATTTGGTGACAGGAAGGCCAGAATAACTTCTGTTCTCTCCCAACCCTATCTAGCCCCACAAAATTTCCTAGTTCCATGAACATGTTTTAGTTTTTTCACTTCATGTATCTCTTAACTAACTAGAGATACAAATTATAATGTAAAACAATTGTAAATGTGAGACTGAGTAGAGCACCAGTCTGGTAAAATAAAAATCAATCCATATGCTGCCTCTACCTGATTTAGCTTTTCTTTTCATTTGAGCAATTCAGCACAAAATGAAACCAGGTTTTCCTGTGTAAAGTTTCAGCTTGACTGGGGGATAGTTAAGTTCTTTCTTGAAATTCTTGGTCAGTGTTTATTTTTTTATTGTGCCTCAACAAGATTAGGATGTCTTCAGTTTGAATCTGGGTAATGTTCACTGCCAAACATCTTCTCATTTAATGCATAGGCCCTCACGCTTCGGTATAATGAAAATCAATTCTTGGCAAAAAAACAAAAACAAAAAAAAACCTCTATGGAGCACAGTTCTAATCTGATACACATGGAGTCACCAAAAATCAGACCTGACTCGATGGCAACAGGAAATGAGTTAAGGCTTTTTTAGGCTGAAATGACAGAAACCAAACTCATCACAATCTTAGTTAACAAAACTATAGAAAAGTCAACTAGCCCAAGGGGCAGCAAGACATTGGGCTTTGGGTGTCCTCAGCCCCTTGTCTCCCTAAATTTCTCTGCAGAGCTGGCAGTATTCCTAGTCCTAACAGCCTTAACCCCACCAGATGGGAATGGTCACTCTGGGAGTAGTTAATCTTATAGTCCAGAAACAGAGGAACCAAGGACCATCACGGAAGAAGAGCACAAGCAAATACAGGCCCTTATCTTAAGGAGCTCTGGTAGTGTAGTGGTTACAAATTGGGCTGTGATCTGCAAGATCAGCAGTTTGAAACTACCAGCTGCTCCATGGAGAAAGATGAGGCTTTTTACTACCCTTAGCAGGGAGGTAGAGATGGGGAGCGACTAAGGACTCTAGATTCATGGGAACAGAGGGACTAAGAGCAGGTGGCCAGGAGGCAGACTTGCAGAATATGCCCTTTGGAGATGTAAATTATTATATATGACTGAGTGTTTTTTTTTAAAGAGCTAAAGTGAATAGTGAGAAATACTGTTAACCGATGGTACATGGAGGGGATTATAATCATTGTAATGAAACAAGGTATATGATTTGTTGAATGTAAAACTGATGATATGCCCTGTAAACTTTCACTCAATCCACAAAAGAAACCTTAAAAAAGGGATGGGGTGGGGGTGGGGGGGGGAGGATAGAGGTAAATGCTGTTGACTGATGGTACATGGAGGGGATTGTACTCATTGCAGTGAAGCAAAATATGGCCATCCTGGCCTCCAAGGAGCACTCTGGCTGCACTTCTTCCAATACAGATCTGTTGGTTCTTCTGGCAGCCCATGGCACTTTCAATATTCTCCTCCAACACCATAACTCAAA